CTGGAGCTCTGGTAGCGTAGTGCTTATGAATCGGGCTGCGAACCTCAAGGTCAGCAGTTCGAAACTACCAGCTATTCCGTGGGAGAAAGATGAGGCTTTCTGCTCCCGTAAAGATTTACAGCCTCGGAAACCCTGTACAGGGTCGCTATGAATCGGAACCTACTCCACAGCACATAATCACCATTATATATATACATATACATACACATGTATTCACATGTCACTCTTCTTCATATAATCGTTTAGCATGTTTATCTGTCCATGTGTCTACCTAAAGAGTGTTGTTGTTCTGACGTTGTATATATGTCACTATATACCTCTATACCCTTTAGCTCTCCTATACCACTCTGTGTCTTCACCTGTCTTCATCATACTTCTGCCAACTTCCCTCTTCTTGTATGTCGCCCTTCCTTTTCTTGTATATTTCCCTCCTCATAACTCAAGTTAACCCTATAACCTGTGTTATCCCTCCCACTCATGAAAACAATCAAAGATTATTTGATTTTTCTGTTTCAAACTCATATATTTGTGGAATATAAGAATACATATGTCTCACTCTTCCTCACTAACCCATTCAGCCTTTGTCTCAATCCATGTATCTATGCTCAGAAAGCGGTTGTTCCAGAATGGTGTGTATAAAGAAAGTTTTGTGGAGCAGAAAACATGCTTACAAAGAAGAGAAGAAATGGAAATACAACTTGAAGAATGTTTCAATTTTCAATAAGCATTTGTATACGTAGACAGGATACAAGGAAAAGATAACAAAGATCTTACAGGACTGAATAAATTGTACTGAAAAAGATCCTTAAATATAAAAAGTAATGGTTTATGGGAAGGTTAGTAGATGTTCTAGCCCAGTTGGAGCACACGGTAACATAGTGGGAAGACAGAATGAGAGGTGAGAATCAGAGAATGTAGCAAAGGACAATGAGACTGAAAGCAAGCTGTTATGAATTCTGAAGAGCTCTGAAACACTTTATGTGATATTATGTGATAACACCAAATTTGTTTTTTAGAAAGGCAACAGTGTAGAAGATGAATTATGGATTAGAAAGATGGGAGAACAGCAATGGGCAGTACAAAACAGTTAGGAGTCTGTCAGGTGTTAAATTTCCCAGGGCTTGGGATTTTCAGTGCAAAAACTGGGAAAGTCCCAGGCAAACCAAATAACTGGTCACCCTATTGCTGAGTAGGCATGGTGGTAAAAATAAACTCTGAAACTGGTGGCAGGAATGTAAGAACTTCACATAAAAACAAGACTAAAAATGTATCCATTTTGGAGACTGTTTGCTGAGGAATCAAAGATAA